CGGCCCCCCGACTTGGTGAGCATCTTACTTCGCTCCGACCGACCACCCCGGCTCGACGAACATTTCACTTCGCTCCGATAGGCCACCCCGACCCGGTGAGCGTCTCACTTTGGTTCAACCTGCCGTTCCGACCCGATTGACCGATCATTTTGGTTCGATTGGGCACCATGGTCCGAACGACCGACCACTTGCATGTTTTTTTGTTTGCATGTTGCATCTTGTATGTGTTAGTTTACATGATCATTATCATTTGCTTATGTTGCACTTCTTCGGACCGCTGTCGTCACGGCACGCTCATCGCTTCGGTCATTGCCGCTTCGGCACACATTCTTTAGGTTGCTGCCTCCACGACACGCCCATCCCTTTCGTCACTGCCGCCTCGGCACACCTTCGGGTCGCTGCCTCTACGGCACGCCCATCCTTCGGGTCAATGTCGCTAAGGCACGCCCATTTGTTCGGGTCCCTGCCTCCATGACATGCCCATCTTTTCCCGAGTCACTGTCTCATGGTACACTCATCATTTCTGTCATTTGATTGTCTGCACTCGCATTTGCAAGTTTGCATGGGTTGCGAGCCAGACTCGTTAGGAGAGACCCTGTGTCAGTCGCGATGCCTCAACGAGCATTGCTTGCTAGGTTGATCCCGATGAGCAATGCGAGTTAAGTCATCAGGATTGACACGAGTATGAATTAGATCTAACTTGTGTCGCCGCTCTTCGTGACACCCTTTAGATCATTCGAATCGTTAGGATGAGGCCGGTATGACGACCTCGTCAAAGTCATACTATACTCAGACTTACCCCACACTTAGATACTAGGTTGACACACTTTTCGTCTGATGGTGTGCTAGGCTAGGATTTAGGGTGCTATGTAGTCTTTTTGATACCTGGCTATTGTTCTTTGTTGGATTGGTTGCCCTAGCGAGGTATCTTTTTTTTGCATTGTACTTATGGTGTGACTGCATGTTGCATATGTGTGGTAGTTTGTTAAGGCATTTTTCTGCAGGGAGTCATGTTTATTTATGCACAAACACAGGTACTGCTATTGGGAGAGCATGTGATGATTTTTGACCCTTTTGTTTGCAGGTGTTATTTAGCTCCCCCACTTTTAAAGCATGACTCATGATACATTACTTACATGTGAGTTTTCCCGCTAACACTTGTTTTCATGCAGGATTGAGTTTTTTTCTTTTTACTATGTACTTTTAGAGTCTAGGAGAGTTTTGTAGCAGAAATAAGATACAGACACGTGTTCTGAGATGTTTAGCGCGAGAACCACATGGAGGGGACCAGGAGCATATGCTCATGCCCCATATCTTAATTCTACGTTTTATATTGATGTATATAATTAGGACCGGACATGTATATGTGGAGTCCGACCGCGTCTTTCTTTTCTGGGATATGTTGTCGTCCCATCGGTACCTGCTTGTTTATTATTTTGATTTGGCTTGGTTTGATTTTTGCATCATTTTGCATGTCTGTAGTTGCATATGTTTACTTTGTTTCTTTCTATGATTTATCTGGGATTTCACGATGAAATATAGGCTCTTCAGTACTTAAAATCCTAATTTTTTACTTAAAAATATTAAATAAAATATTCAAGATGATTAAAATTTAGAATTAAAATATTCAGGATTTAAAAATTGCAACATTTACTTTTCTGCATATATTAATAAGGCCCTCTCTAGATTAGGACCGCTCTAGATAACTGCATCATATTTGCATGTCCCGAGCATTCATATTTGCATGTTTGCATGTTCCGAGGAGGAGCCCCCATGCTTCTTCAACCTGACTGGCCCAACATAATTTTTTAGGTGATTGTATAGTGTGCTTAGGGTGTTAGAAGACTCTCCGACCTAGACGGGGTGTAAGTCCTTTTGTTTAGAGTGTTTCCAGCTTTATAGCTGAACATCCACTTCTCTTTCTTTCTTGAGGCATCCTTGCCACTTCGGCAGGTGTAAGTCCCACCTTGTGGAGCTCCAGGTTGTAGATAGGATAAAGTTTCATTCCTTTTACCTTAGGGCTACCAAGGTTCCCGTGGACGATGCAATCCACGGATTGCTGACCGAGAATCTCAGGACGTGTTGGGTCGACTACCTTCACGACTAGGTAGACTTAGGGTCCTAGTAGTTGTGAATGACGGATCTGTGGTACCCCGACCCAATTACCTCTACCTTTTAGGATCACTCTACCTTTCTTTTTGTTGAGCCCCTTTGAGCCCTGTCGCTCCTTGACTTCGTTGATATCATTTTGACGACCCGATGCCGATGAGTTGCCGCCCATTTGGGATACGACAATTTGTCCTCTGCCCTTATGGCCCGGAGGTGCTTTGATGTGTTTGAATATCCCCGTCAAGATAATTTAGGTTATTCTATGGGCCCCGTGTGTCGATGAGTCGCTACCCATTTCGGGATGTGAGCGACTCACTCTCTGCCCCATTGCTTAGCGCGAGCTTTGAAGTATCAAGATTGTTCCCACACGGAGTAACCTTTCTTTGAGTACCTATTGCCCAGGTTCACGATAATCCAAGTGGAACTCCCTTTATCGAGAGTATTCTTGGGTACCCCCCAAGATGTAATTAACCAAGTGGGATACGTTCCTTGGGGAGTGCTCTTGACCCCAGAACAGGCACCTACACTTGACTCTATGGTTATGGGTAGTCTATGTAAGTATTCTTTCAAGGATATTGGTTTAAGGTGCTTTCACCCGATCTTGTTTGGGCGGACATTCTTACGGACGATCTTGTTTGGGCGGACATTCTTAACCTATCCTTGCGAGGTTTACCGCACGTAGGCTCTCCACGTTTTGTGTTTTCTCTTGTTTGTCTTTTTGGCGCATGTTCCTTCTTATTTGATTCCTCTCCTCTTCGAATCACTAAGTTGATTCGGGAGGGAGATTTATTCGGAAAAGGGAAGTATACGACGATCAACAAGCGGACGACTTCTTTTAAAATAAATAAGAGAAAAACAAACGAAAAACTGTAAGAGCTGGTCCGAATACCTTGTGTGCATGCTTATGCTACAGTGCACATGAATAAGGGTGATTGTGAGGACTAGGTTGACCATTCCTATTTTATACAAATTTATAAGAAAACTTATGAAATGTCATGCCTTTAAATGCTCCTGAAGAATGGTCTAAGAGCAACAATATTCTACTATTGCCTCCGAGGTGTAATAAATTAAAGAGGGATAGGCCACCAAAGATATGAAAAAGAGCTTTGATAAACAACACATAAATTCTCAAAAAAAAAAAAGTAAAGTAGATCCACAATCATACTTTATTGTAGTAAATATAAAGAGGGTGAACATAATAGTTAAAAAAATGCCACAAGAAGCACAAGGATATGAGATTTGATAATGATGATACCCATGAAGTTGGCCAAGCAATTTAATGTCCACAAATATCACAAACAATGGTGAGTTTTGTATTCATAATGATCACTGTAATTTAATTACAATATTATATATTTTTTATTTATTTTGATAATCTTTAAAATCATCTAAAATAATATATTGATCATTAAATAAAGAGTCTACCACAATCTAAACCAACTTTCTAATCTACACACAAGAATCTTCGAATAAAAAGCTAATTATAAAATTTAATTTGTTTTGCTTCACTACTAATTTTTTTGTTCTATGAATTTATTTTGTTGCTTCTCATTTGTATATGTATCTCACTCGAAATGAAAGAAGACCAACTAAGAAACTACTTTCAACAAATTATTTGATGATTACATCAATATTTTTTGTTTGGTTACTCTAGACGATGATATGCAGAATGCCTGAGTTTTGGTTTACTTTTTTGTTATGTTGTAACCATTTAGTTTTACAAATTTGTCTTATATTAAGTTTGTTAGGAATTTAAAAATTTGTTAAAGTCTAAATTTTAATTTTTTTTAGTGCGTAATGGTAAAATTTTATCTTATTCTTATACATGTGAGGAGTTAGATATGAGCTCTTGTTCATGTCTGAGATGATTATTTATTTATTTATTTATTTATGATTCATAGATATTTCTTTCTTCTATCACCTTTTTAATTCAGAAGATTTAACTTGAAGTATTTTTTTTATATGTGAATTTAACACTTTTATTTTATACATTGCAATAACAACAAATCTTTTCAAACTTTGAATTAAATTTATATGTATTCCTTAAATCTGGAAAGTCACATAGATCTCATAATTATTCGTTTAGTGCTGGTGGTTGATTGAGGTTATAATATTTTTTTTTTCAATATATTTATTTATTTTAAATGTTATTATTTTTATAGTTGACATTAGAAAGTATTGGTTTAAACATTGCAAATTTATTGAAATTTCTTAAGAACACATTTTTTTTTTAAAGTTCGAAATCCTTATTATTTTAAATTTGTTATTTGTATGACATTAAATGAGACATAAGACACAACTCATTGCAATATTCATTTAGGCATACAAATTATTTTTTCATATTTGTAAATAACTAGCTAACAGTAATATGAAATAAAAACATCTTTAGTTTCATCAGTAGTATATTGTTACTCAAAAGTTGTTATAATTATAACAATTATTAATAAAATTACCCTAATATTCTTTGAAGAAGGGAGATAACAATCATTAATATTCTTAATTATTTGATACTTTTTAAATAACCATAATCAAATAAATCTCATTGTGATGGTTGTATTTAAATAATCATAATTATTTCATACATAATCAAACACATATATTAAGATTTTAGCACAAGATCTCCTAAAAAAACATCATTCCAAAAAATATTCCATTTTAAACATCTAAAACCTCCATTCCATTTATTTTTTTAATGGTGGTGCTACTCCAAACCCTCTTTAAATAGTTAAGGTACCATTTGGCACTTTTTCTATAAGAATTGTGTGGTATGAGTTTGAACTTCCCTAAAAAGAAACAAAAGGAATCCTAATCTATAAAAAAACATGTATAAAAATCTTCGGGGATTAACACGTTTACCTACGAATCCAACATCCTTCACATCATTCGGAAATATGGTGACCCTGGTCGTGGCTAACGCCCCCCCCCCGCCGATCCGGCGTCGATCGGCCCAGCCTCCGCTTTCCTTGCTCTGCCTGGTTGGACACCTGGTCCCCTTATCGATGTCCGTGAACTCTGTTTCCTCCATTCGCATGCCATTGCCGAGCTTTGTTTCCTCCATGTCATTGTTTTTAAATTGTTCCTATTGCAGGAAAAAATTGCGAGCTTCGTCAATGGCGAGACGAGGCTATTGAAGCACGAGAGAAGTATCGTGGCGGAAGATGACCTGGATCACCGATGGCAGGAAGCTACAGGGGAGGCTGTCTCTGAGGTCATCTTCCTCAGCCGCCACACGGCCGTCTCCAACCGCCCCGCTTTGACAGTTCATCCAATCGGTTTGATTCGATCTTTGTTTTCGCTTCTTTGTTGTTGTTGCTGTTGTTGTGGTGGTGGTGGTGTTTTCTTTCCTGTTTGTCGGCGAACTCGTTTCGTTATTTGGTTGGTATCATTTTGATTGAATTTGTATATGAGAATAAAATTATTATAATCGAAGATAATTTTGAGAGAATTTTTTGAAACTATATTCAGTTAAATTATGAATCCCATAAATTATTAAATGAGTCTTAAAAGTAATTAAAGTATATAAATTTTGTCGTCCGATGCTGTTTCTCAGGCGTGCCTCATCTGAGAGTTGGGGATGTCCCTCCCCAAGGCGGGCGACCGGCATGGGCAGCTCCACCCAATCCGAGAATCGCTCCTTGGTTCAGACTGCTGAGAAAAATTGCTCTTGACCAGGGCCTCATTCCAGAGTTTGAGGTTGGTGGGCTTTCTAGTCGCTGCCATCTCTTTCTCTGTAAGTTGTTTTCTCGTCTGTTTTTTCTCAATTGAGTAGAATTGCTACTTTACCTTTTGCAGGTAACCCTAGAGGCAACCCATCATGGACCTGTGGTTAGTGCACCGACAATGTTTTTGGAGATAGGTATGGCCAATTTTAAAATGTCCTAATAAGAGATTTTGCATGATCCATGAGTTGATAAATGTTGAGAATAATTATGATAATTCTAGTGAAGTCTTATGCCTGGAACCAATTCTTAGATTTCTTGAGCGCTTTAAGCTTGGGTTAACTTCTTCTTCTTAGTAAACACATTTTGTTAAAATTTCAACAGAATTACATTTTGACTTCATTTGGTTGCTTGTAGATGAAAAATGTTTATTTTCTCATTATCAATGGATAGTTTCAGTCCTTCAAGCTATTGGGTTATGGTGTTCTCCTCGAGCTCCATTAGTTTAAATTTTAACATAAGCTACTCGAACTTAACAATATATTCCTCTATCGAGAGATTTTTTGTTGTAAGCGGTAAAGTCTCAAGAACACATCATGTTTCTAATGTGTTGGTGGATACTTGCACTACATCTTCTTTTTCATCGTGGATCGGATGAGATTTTGCTTTTTCTTTTACTCTAACGTAAGCTTTTCAATTTTTTTGCATCATAGAGATATATTCTTATTTAACTTAATGAGAACTAGCTTTACCTATCTGTCCGGTAGAACATCTTTGTACTCAAAGACCTATTCCACTTTTTGCAGTCATTCAATAAACTCTTTCGGATCTATGTAATTGTCAAAATCTTGTAAATATAATTTAGTCCAAAGTTCTGGTTTCTTCACTGATATTTCATGTCAAATCGACACCGTCTTGGCTCTTCGTAACTTGAAGCTTCTTAGTGGAAGGGATTTATTCTTCATTTTGATCTGAAAAGTTTCCGTTGTGGTTATGGGTGACTTCATCAGGTTGTCTCCTCTCAAAGTCTGTTATCCTTTGTTGTAGTTGGAGGATTTCTTTCTGCATATTCTCCATAGTGATCTCTTGAACACTTTGTTTTGGGCTTCTCCATGGCGACATGATGTCTTGTTCTTTCAATGAAAGTTTCAAGGAAAATGAAAAAAATAATCAGGTTTAGGGTTAGGGTTAGGATTAGGTGGGTGATTTAGGGATTTTTTTTTGTGGGTCAAAATTTAGGGTTTTAGTGGTAGGTATCAGGGTGTATTTTGATGAAGTTAGGAAGCTTGGATTTTGAAAATTTAGAGTTAGGGCTAGAATTATGGTAGGAATGACGAGTGTATTGAGTTTGCTGAAGATTTAAATTGTGTGAATTTTTGGGTATGCTTAGGAAAAACAAATCTCTAAAAATTTAGGGTTTTCTAGGCTGTGATATTAGATGACATCATTTTAGGGCTCCTAAATATATTTAAGACTGGGATGTGTCTGTGGAATAGTAAAGGACCAATAGTACCCGAGCTTGAAGGCTTTTGGACGGTAATCAGTGTCCATCTGTAGCTTTCCCGGCTGGAAACAGTGACTGAAATCACGATACGACTTTGTATGGACGGCGTGGAGGTTCGTCACCTGTTCATGTACAAGCTAAAGACACACCACTTGCAAAAGAAGAGTATGCAATACTTTATAAGTTAGAAAATAGAGAATACAATCTCCAAAGCATACAAAACAAAAGCTAACTGCCTCAAAATAGTAAAATGCAACTTATATAAAAGGCCCCTAATAGAAAATAATCTAATTAAAAAGAGAGAAATAGGAAAAAAATCTGAAAAGGAAGAAAATCAGGCTGAAATGAAAAAATCGGGCGGACTCTATGGCTCGTCGCCGATTGCAGGAACCCGCGATCTTACTGAATTGCATGGGCCTGGAAGCTACTGTATCACCTATAATACTGAAAAAATAATTCTGGCAAAATAATTATTTTTCAGAAAACTTCTAATGGAAATTTGGAAATGTTCATTGATGTTGATTGGGGATGTTAAATCAATTACAAAATATTAGCTGTTGCATACTGCACATATGTGTGTGAAAATTTAGTCACATGGGGAAATAAGTTGTGGTACAAAGTAGGGTTGAATTGAAATTCAGGGTTATGCTACGGATCTATGAGAGTATGGTTTGAGAGATGCTATAAGAATTAAAGATACCATCAAGTAGTTCAATGAATTTTTTTTTGTGATAGTAATTTTACCATAATGATTGTGAAGAACTCGGTCCTTCATGATCGTACATATAGAGATTGATCATCATTCCATCAAAGAATAGATTGACAAAAATGCCATCTAACTTATTTACACTCCCTCACTTCGTCAAGCAACTGATCTTCTCACTAAGATTGATGAAAATGCCATCATGGCATCTGACTTGTTCTCTCTCAAATCATATAAAACCGATACTCTCACTAACGATGTTCACTACAATTGCTTCAAGAGTATGAACTCCTAGTTTGGCATACTTGATATTTATTACCCAACACTAGAGAGAGTGTTGCATGCTACTGGAATCCAAGGATTCTCTTTTTTGTTCTTCAGCACTTTTCTGGGGAGCGTATTTTTTTCCTTCATCTAGCTAATCTGTACAAGGCATTGCTCATTTCTCTTAAATATCTGAATTCAAATATTTAGACCATGTTTTATAGTTTTCCTTTTATGCTTATTCCTGATAAGTGTTTATTTGGTGTCCCCTCTTTCTATTTAAACCTATCTTGAAGTTTAGAATTTGTGAAGAATTAAATAATAAATTATTCCTCCTATTTCTACAGAAATGTTCTCTGGTTGTCTAGTCATATCGAGCTACAAGCTCCAAATGCCTTTTGCATGGTTATTTATGTTTAATTTTCCTCTAGCATATGCATCCTGGAATTAAAACAGAAAATTTTCTTGCAGTTTAACTGCAGCTAGATCTAATTGCATTTCTTTCTATTTGCTAGCATTCATTCAGCACTATGTAACATAAGAGTAAATCTCCATGATCGGGCAATACTACATTTGGTGGAATCTATATCATGTATCATTTTGAACATTATATGAAACCATAACACTTCTGAATAATGTTTCAAATGATGTATGTCAAAGATGGAAGCTTTTCTCTGTGCACATATGAGCCTTAACCTTCTTAGTAACTACTACTGTAATATCTACTTCATCTGACTTAGATAGACTAATAATATGCTTAGCCTGCCTTTTGTAGCGAATTATCTGCTGAACTTGTTCCAGTTTTGGTTCTTAGTTGTGCAGCAGAATCATCACAGGTCATCAGTCACTCTGATTAAATCATATAGAGCACTATACTTCATTTGTGTATATTTCATATTTATTTTATGTCATGTTTTTATTTTATTTCAAGGATTGGGCCATATTTATCTTAATTTTAATTTTTATATTTATGTTTTGCTTAGGAATGTTTTAGTCAATTATTATCTTCTCTCATCACTATATAGGCTTGTAACATGTAAACTCATAGAAATAGATCAAATATGCAGTATTAACCAACAAACTTTTTGTTATCACGCTTAACCATGGTATTCGAGTAAGGTTTGAAGCTAAGAACAGGTCCAAAACCATGTTGCATGGAGCAGAGTGATATGATGGTAAAATGAAGCTTGTAGAATTCATTGCCAAACATTAAGAAAGCATAGAACAATACAAGCATCTAGGAAGGTCAGCTTATTCTTATCATATTGACTGACGTGTTATCATTCACTTAAAACAATCCTTGGATATAAATCATTCCTGCAGAGGAACTGATGCAGGTGCTCTGCGGCTTGGATTTCTCTTCCGTCGGGTTGGCTTCAAAACTTTTCCTTGTCTTTTCAGTAGTAAATGAAATTATGGGTTTGACTGCTTCTTTACAAAGCTGATTCATGGATTAATCCGCAGCTTGACCTGTGACTTGCTCCTGTACTTTGATCTATCGCTCCTCCATGACAGCTCCTCCAGTACTCAATCTACAACTCCTATGTTATGCTGCGGCTTTCTTTTGTTACTGGCTGTAAAGATCTCAGCTCTTGTAGCAACAGAATTATTTGCGTTGAGATCATTCTAAAATTTTGTAGTAGTGGAAACTGTTATTATTCATTTCTCAAAATATAAATTGGACCTAACGCATGTGCATAAGATCTTTAGTTGGATATCCAAATCCCATTCTTATGGGATTCTATTTTCTGATACATAGGTCGTTTAAATAATTCTGGTAGAAATTCTTCTTGTACAATGAATGAACGAATATGAAAAAGCTCTTGCTGAAAATGGAAAAAGCAGTACTTATTTTTGATTGCAACCATTACTTTATGTCATCATTCATTAAGCATTTCTTTATTGTAAAGACTGACCCCTTTCTATCGAAGTTTCACTACATAAGTATGACAATACTTGTAAATAAATAACCAAAAAAAGAAAAAAAAATGTCACATTATCCAACTGCGTAAATATTGTATAACATAAGATACACATGATAGAAACTAAATACTTCGCTGCTCCCTGAATGTACTTGATCGAAGGAATGGCAACCTGTGATGTATCAGTTTGATTTGGCCATGTTGATTTTGTTGGTAAATATGAATTCTAATTTGTCTATAAATGCTAAATATACCCTTATAGTTAATCTTGATTCACTTGTAGCTACTAAGCTTTATTTTTTCATGAATCTTGTAGGAAGCACTGAAGAGTACTGGGGAAGACAAGATGCTGCTCAAGCTATGGCATTGGTTGGTTGATTTTGAATGAATCTGTTCATATTTTACTTTCTGTTAGTTATTTAATAGTTCTTCACATGCCAGGATTATAACCGCGTTAAAGTTGCTATGCTACTTCTTTATAGCTTGCTACATTAACTTTCTATTTTAATTATTAGAATGTCTTATACAGAACTTGATCACTTTCCATCCTTTAGTTCTTTAATTGTATTCTGCCAACGGCTGTAACTTACTGATTTTTATTAATGAACCATTTCTGCTATTTCTGCTTTGATTTTACACTATTGCAGTAGCATTAGATTCTTATCGTTAATTTTTACTTATTTTGTTGACATCTGAATTGCAAAGAGTAAAAAAAATAGAGAGGATCGAAATGCCTTCTCTTGCTTTCGATGCGAATGTAGCCACAGTAGAAGATCGAATTGTAGGGTTTCTCCATAATTCGAGATTTCTCCGTGAAATGAAAAATAGCACTTCCTTTAAATTGTTGAACATCGTAATCATTTTTCACTCCTTTCCTAGCTAGCAGTGAAGGCGGCTCTCGTTTGTCCCCTTCTGTGCTGCAGGAGATTACATTGAGAAAGAAAAATATAAAAATGCATGATTTGTGCTTGAAATTTAAGTGTTGCAAATAAACCTTCTCCATGTCGCAAGATTTCGAAAACATTCCATACACAGTGTAGCCGCGGTCAAGGAGAAGCCACAATCTACAAAGTGATGATGCCGCTATCGCCAGTGATGAAAACCCTTTTTTTAACTTTTCCATCCACTACATGCGATCAGAATATCGACTGATATGTTAAGACAATTTCCCTCTCCTTTTTTTTTTCCTTTCTCTTGTCCTGCAATTTGATTTTTCCTATGGCTGCATCGTGTCGAAGTTGGAGAAGGCATTGCCGACGAGATCTGACAGAATGTGGCAAATCCATAACAACGTTAACCAGGATGCTTTATATGTAAATGGTAGACTTTTGGGTGTGAGATATATTAAATTTAATAGTCTTAGGTGCTATGTATGTAAATTCCCCTTCGTTGATAGGTTGTTATATCTATTCCCTTCTCATTACAAATTGTATCCTTCATGGAACTTTCATATGTCATTATAACATAATGGGCAATCTTATGTATTTAATTCTATCTAAATATGAGAGCCTCTTTTTACTTCTGTACATCACTTCAAGTTAACAGCACTTTGGACATAAAGAAACTTGTACTAAAATTGGCCTGAGGATAAAAAATACATTTTATTGTTTTTTCTTTTGTAGCTTTTGTGGCGAGGACTTGGGCTTGATGATGGTGACGGTGTGGGAATATGGGACAGGTATGGATGTGCAAGATTTATGACTTTTTTGGCTAGCAAAATTAGTTTTTCTTAGATAGTGCTTTAAAATTTTAAAATATTTGAACACTCAATTTTAGGTTTTTTCTTCCAAATCATCCCTAAATATGGACAAGTTTCAGTGATAAAATATGTTTTTATTATACTGTATGGCCATTGGATTTCTTTTGCAATTTATTTTTTCAGGAGATTGATAAAAAGACATTGAATTATGCATTAGTTTCTTTTGCTTCTAGTTGTAATGCTTTTGATTGACCTGAAATTTTTTTTTATTCCCTCTTGAACAGAAACAGTTACAATAAAGTTCTTCTGGGTATAGGTGGTGGTCACTATGTACCCCGTCACATGGATATTATCCAGTAAGCAGCACCAGAAACTGTTCTGCATCTAATTGACTCAAGGACAAATGCTAAAAATTGTGTTCTTATGTAATATTTTCTGTTAATATTTTAAAGTTTCGATATCCTCTATAATCCAGCACATGGTTATTGAATCCCACCATTTAAACCCTTATCTTTCCTCATCATTATCATCATCATGCACGTGATGCCATCATTAACCATATTATAACTCCTTTGGGATCAACAAATCACAGCTTTTACCTGTGAAAATTTTAAGACAGTAATCTGATTATCTTTAGCTAGAATCATGGGAATACAGCCAAAAGGACAACCATTGTACTGTATATCCAGGTTTTGAAAATGTAATTTTTATTTTTAGTTAATATTAACAGCTTGTAGAGTTGCTTCCGTGTCATCGAGATGGACAATGTCTTATTACAAACATTCTACTTGATGTTAATGTTTGAAACAATTTGACTGCTGCTGCTAAAATTATTTAGGTAAGGATTATCTTGAGAATCTAAGGATGACTTTGAGAATCTAATCAATTTTTGTTTAGCGGAAGATACGAAGGAAAAACGTATCTATAAATTCTGGTTCTCCTTTAGAATATCAAGGGTTTATTAATGCTTATTTTCATCTAAAAAGGAATTCTATTGCAACAACTGAAATCCAGTTTTCTGGTATGACTAGAAACCAGGGAAACTGAAGCAAAATGAAATTGTTTGAATCTGCTATGCGACTAGGCTAGAAAGTTGACTACAAAATATAAATTCTATATTTTTTCTTATTTTTATTACTCTCAAATCAGATTAAATTTCATGCTTTATATCTCTGGAGTGCAAGGTCACCCTCTTATTTAAGCTTTATCTGTAGAGATAAAGGTATGCTTCGCTTTGGACTGTGTTTCTTATGCTATTTGCATCAATCATATTCCCTTTGGATGAAGATTGTTTTTAAACTAAAGGCGGGCTGTCATAGATTGGTTCATACCTTTTTTTCTCTTGTTTAATTCTGAATTTCATCAATCTTCACATCTATTTCTACGCTTGAATATATTTGTTTAAAATTTTATTTGTTTTGTCGAGTAAAATGGGTGCTTGCTAAGTTCATAGTTTATAATTCTGAATGAAAAGAAAAGCAGAAGCCTTTCATTTACTGACAGTTCTGCATTACTTGCATCTGGAAATATTTTTAGGAAAGAAGGTGTGTGGGTGGGACACTTACTCTCTGGATATTCTTTGCCAATGGAAGAGCCAGCGAAGCATAAAGCAAATGATCAAGGTAAAAGTATTGGTGGAACATGGAAGCAATCTATCAAGGTTTCATTTGAAGCCACAAAAGCAGCTTTTCCAGGAGGTGTAGTTCTAGCTCATCTTGATCAGAAGTAAGCTTCCTCCACCATTAATATATGATGAAAGATTGCTTTGCATTTTCTGTTTTTATAGGAGATGGTTCTCTCTGTGCTTCTGGTGGTGTGGACGGTAGGGTAATTTTTTTGTCTTGTTTGCACACCAAGTGAACTTTCTTCTACTGTCTACTGGGTTACTTGACATAAGACATCCATATTTCCTAAATTTTCATAAATCTTGATAATTACTTATAATATAATAATGGTCATCTCTTTTATATCACTTCATTATCTCCATAATTAATATCAATATTACAACATCTTGTGGATGTCTGTATGAATCAATCGACGTCATTTTTGTTTCTTTTCAATATGACATTAAGGCTATTTTACATTGGTCGTTTTGCATGCTTGAACACTTACATTTTGTCTATATTTCCTTTTTTTGTCATGTTGTTCTTATTCTTCCACCTTTTTAGTGATCCACATTCCTAAATCTCTGAAGCGTGCTTCCCATAAATTTATTTTAATAGATACTACTAATCTATTCGGACACTCTTAAATAATTATTCACACCAAATATTTTTTAGTACTATTATGTATGCCACTAAAATGATCTTCTCATGGTTATATAAACTATTTCTTCAAGTCTCCATGCCACATTTGAAAACCCTAGAGTAACCTATAATATTTATCGAAATGATTTTATCAAGATTAGAAGTTATGCATAATTCCGTATTTGGTTTTTATTCTGTTATATATTCTCTTGATTCAAGATATTATACTCATTATTTCCTCTAGTTTTTTTGGTGTATTTACCTAGATATAGACAACAGTGTTATAGTGAACTCAGCATGAGCTTGGCCATCTACACTCTCTAAGCAAAGGGCTAAGTGGTGGGTTGCGACTGGACCAAATGTAGGTGGGGTGGTTGGAGTGCTACAATCAACACTGGAGGGCTGGAGTGGGTTGCGGCAATAATACAGGAAGACTAGTGGAGTCACAGTTGGCAACAGGGGTGTAAACTAGATTGTGGTTGGTTGGGAATGTCGGCTGTGGCTACAGGGATTAGCGGAAGGGGATCTCAAGAGTCGGACAGGGGGACAGATGGGTTTAGCAGTATTAGAAAGATTGGGAGGATCCTGGGGAGTAGGAACGAGCAAAGTCATGGGAATTACGGCTGGGTGGAAATGATCTGGGAGGAGTTATGGTAGCAGGGAATACGAGGAGGGTTTTCGACAATGAGAAACGCTTGTCGACAACAAGGATCAGAGCAAAGGGATTTCAGAAAGGGTTTGGGGAAGATAAATATCCCTGCGGGATCAAGTTACAACTGAAGCACCTCTCGAACCTTTGGAGAAGATCATCACTTCAGACGAGTTACAATCGGAGCACCTCCTCTTCGTCGAATATAGCCCTAGAATGGAAAAGGGGACACTGATGGTTGTCCTTGGCAGAAATCTAAAATCAGACTCACAAAACATTGCCCTAATTCAACAAACACAGATAAATAGAGATAAAATAGGTGGGAAATAATTTTCTCCCAATGAAAAGAGAGAGCAGATTGTAAAGTCATTCCAAGTGAGAATTTAAATACCCAACATCGTTTATTAATTCTAGATTTTAAGATGAAGAGTTGTAAAATCAAGAATACTAGGACTCATCATCGTAGAATTAGACGAGGAACCTAAAAGATACAAATAAATTTTTTTTTATGAGTAAAATTCAAGATTTCAAATTTTGAGATGTTCATGATGAAACAAATGTTGTGGTATAAAGTAACAAACACTATTAAAAAAGTAGTAAAAGATGTACTTAGAGAATTAAAAGAAAAAGTTTCTTTAAATAAAAATAGTTGGTGGTGAAATAATGTCTAAGAAAAAAATAAATTATAAGAAGTTATGTTATAAAAATTGGTTTAAATGCAAAAACATAGAGAACTGAAAAATATCAAATGGCATGCAGAGAGTCTAAAAAAATAATACGCGACGCTAAAAAATATGCTTTTAATGATCTCTATAATAGATTCGATACTAATAAAGGTGAAAAATATATGTATAAATTAACTAAATAAAGATAAAAGAAAAGTAAAGATTTAACTAAAGTAAAGTGCATTAATGAAAATCAAAAAGCGCTTTTCTTAGAAAAAGTTATTCAACTTAGGTGGGTGAATTATTTTGATAAACTTTTTAATGATGTTTCTGAAAATGCGATCAACCGTAGTGATCTTACTATTGTTAATAATAATAAATGGTTTCATTTTTACCGTCACATTAGTAAAAAAGAAGTTGAGGAGGCTATAAAGAAAACTAAGGGTCGAAAGTCTGTAGGACCTGATGATATCCCAATTGAAGTATGAAAATATTTAGGAGATTTGGGAGTTTCTTGGCTTACTAAACTCTTTAATATTATTTTAAAAGCTAAAAAGATGTCTGAGGAGTGGAGGAAGAGTATTTTGGTCCTCATTTTTAAGAATAAAGGGGATCCACAAGGGTGTGCAAATTATAGAGGAATTAAATTGATGTATCATACTTTAAAATTATTGGAGAGAGTAATTGAACATAAGTTAAGACGTGTTACAAAGATTTCTCATAATCAATTTGGATTTATGTCGAGCAGTTCTACTATGGAAGCTATACATTTATTGAGAAGTTTGATGGAGGAGTTCAGAGATAATAAGGAGAATCTACATTTGATTTTTATTGATTTAGAAAAAGCTTACGATAAGGTTCCAAGAGATATTCTTTGGAGAGTTCTTGAGAAGAAATATGTTGATATGACTTATATTCAAGTCATTAAAGATATGTATACTAGAGCTGTTACTTGTGTTCGAATTGAAGGAGGATTGACCAAGTATTTTCCTATTTCTGTTGGATTACATCATGGTTTGGCTTTAAGCCCATATCTTTTTGCTTTAGTTATGGATGATCTTATTGGACATTTATAGGAGGATGTACCTTGGTGTATGCTTTTTGCTGATGAAATCCTTCTTGTGGATAAGATGAAAGAAAAAGCCCAAGAAAAACTTGAATTATGGAGGTCTACATTGGAGTCTAAAAGCCTTCATTTGAGTAGAACTAAAACTGAATACATGAAATGTAATTTTAATTGTAGTAGCTCTAGTGACAGAAGTGTAACTTTGGGTGATCAAATTAGTAAAAGGTGTGAATGATTTCAATATCTCTGGTCTGTTGTTCAAAGCGATGGTGATATAGATGGGGATGTTAATGGTAGAATTCAAGTTGGTTGGTTGAAGTGGAGGAAAGCTTCAGACCTTTTGTGTGATAGAAAAATACCGCTTAAACTGAAAGGAAAATTTTATGAGACGGTGGTGAGACCTGCAATGCTCTATGGCGTTGAATGTTGGCCTTTAAAAGAGAAGCATAATACTAAGTTAAGTGTTGCCGAGATGAGAATGGTTAGGTGGATGAGTGGTTTTACACTTAAAGACAAAATGCGAAATGATTATATCCATGATAGGGTTGGTGTAGCTCTTGTGACGGACAGAATTAGAGAAAGTCGTCTTAGATGGTTCGGTCACATTAAGCGTCGACCATCGGATGATCTGATTAGGAGAGTAGATGTTTTATATTCGACTTATGTTAAGAAAGGCAGAGGTAGACCTAGGAAGACTTGTGCTTATTGTATAAAAATGATCTTAATTTTTTAGAACTAAATGAAAATATAACTCTAAATAGGACGCAATGGAGAAAAAGGATTCATATAGCCGACCCCACGTAGTGGGATTAAGGCTTTGTTGTTGTTGTTGTTGATGTTGTTGAAAAGAGGAAGAAGGGATCAGTCCAACCTTCTGTTGGACTGAACCTCTTCTTTCTAAACTGGTTGGGCCCAGTTCAACCCTTATGCACCACGTTTGTTTTCCAGGATTGGAGGAGCTTTGAATTCATTCATTGAATCTTCCGATTCTTCGTCTGCAGTCTTAGCAGCTCTTAGATCCCACTAGCGACCGCACCGTCCTCTAAGGTACCTGAGAATCTTTCCCATCTTTTGAACTAACATCCACATCGGTCCAATCTTCTATGAGTTTGCTATTGAGCTGAACTGAGTTTGCGAGTCTTGCCTCTGCTACTGAATACTCACAAAGTACTCTCTGATTGGATAAGCCAGATCCGAAGTGGGGGTTAACCTGAACCTTCCCTCCTGGTGGTGTCTCTGGTGGTAAGCTATCGATTGTGGCATCCTGAAATGGCCTCTGTCGTATCTGTCCCGTGTCTGGTGTTGGTGTCTCAATTTCATCATCTCTTATCGCCATCAAAACTGATCCCATTGATGTTGTTCTGCTGATAAGTGCTCCTGTGATCTTGAGCTCCACTGAAGGAAGTATGGTGATAGCTTCCCATCCTTGGAGGAGTATGTGTTTTTGAATCTGTCATGGTGTCTTCTCCAGTCAAATTGTCACAGTTTCCCCAACAAAAGGTGATAGACATCCATGGGGATTACGCCGCACCACACCTAATTCTGCAGCTGGCTCCCTATCTAAAACACCACCATGCATCTCCGGTCAATGTTGACTCTGTATTTCTTTTTTAGTCACGTCAGAGAATTTGACGAGTGCCTCTGAGTCATGAGACCCAACTTTTCTACTATCTGTCTAAGATAACACATTCTTACTGCTTCCCATTAATGATGAAATTGCATATCTTTATGTCTGTGCAACAATTTTAGAAGATATTATGGTGAATTCACGATGGGTCCTTCATATACTCATCCTTTAGGATCTGTTGAACCACAATTGCTTCTTCTTTATCTGATGGCAGATAGTACACCTCACACTGTTCCTCAGCTTTCTATTCATCCTAACCTCTTCCACGACACCCTGCTCGGTAAAAGTCACAACTTGGCTCGTCAGACAACTAGAGGCAATGTACCTAAATCCGTGGCATTTGAAATATTTTCTGGCAGGGATTGTAGCAGGTGTGCTACTCTTCTTAGATTTCTTCTCTGGGGGTGGCTCTATCTTTATTTGAAGCATCTTCCTGAGTTATGCTCCTGTTGGTGTCTCCAAGTGTGAGTGTCTGTCTGGCTGGTGGTAGTTGCTTGCTCTGTTTCTATTGTCTCTCCACATTCAATGCTAAGGACTCGACATCTTCAAGTGATGAATAAGGCTGCAACTGCATCAAGTTGCTGATAGCGCGCTTCAGGCCCCCCAGATAATGTTTTATGGTATGCTTCTTTCGCTCGACCAAATCCTCATATGTAGCTGATCAAACTACTCCATGAACTCCTCTACTGACAGGTCTCTTTACTACAGATGGTGGAGCTTTAGAAATATATCCTGATGATGTGATTGGGTGGAAGGTCCTTCTGCATCACTTTCATCTTTCCCATTTTGGTAATCTTATTGCTAACTTTCCTTTTTCTCTCTCTGTAAGTTCTACCACTACAAGGAATCATTTTTCTTCAACTTGATTGCAACTAATTTGACCTTATCCTATGACGCATCCTTATACTCGAAGATCTGTTCAAGAGATTACAACTAATCAATAAAGTCTTCTGGATCCATACCTCCATCAAACTCTGGTTGATCCACTTTGATGCCGAAATCTTTATACCCTCCAAATGATATCTCCTCTCTAAAATTTTCTTTATGGAAGGGATTCAGATATCCTTCTATAGACCTCCTCTGATGTTGGATTTTGAAACTTCGTGGTCTGTCTTCTTCATTATTGAAATTCTCTCTATGGAAGGGATTCAGATACTCCTCTCTTTCTCCTCTTAGAGTTTCCAGATCTCGGTCGAGGGTAAGCTCTCATTGGATCATCTCATCAATCTCTGTGAACCTCTGTTGAAGGTGACGGAGCTCTTGCCATATCTCTTCTCGAGTAGGCTTGGGCATATATCTTCTTGATGGCATGGTTAGGGTTTGAGATTTGTGAAAGTGAAAGGGTATTTGGTGGTAGGAAAGAAAATTTTTGGTTTATGACGATTGGTAGTATATCTTAGGATAAGATTAAGGTTAGACTAACTTTGATACCAAATGATACCGGAGTTAACTCAAACCACAAAGAAATGCAACTATTATTATTGAAATAAAAAACTGGTTACAGCTCTTCAAAATGGAAAATAAATGACAACAAACATAAGTACACTCTCGAGAAGAGGAATAAGAGGGGGGCTGTGACTGGACTGTAGGTAGGTGGGGCGGTTGGAGTGCTACCGTCAATACTGGAGGGCTGGAGGGGCTGTAGGAGTAATACAGGAAGGCTGGTGGGGTCGCAGCTGGCAGCTGGGTGGTGAACGGGATTGTGGTTGGCTGGGAACATGAGTTGTGGCTGCAGAGATGGGAAGGATCTAGGGATAGATGGATTTAGCGGTATTGAGAAGATTAGGAGGATCAAGGAAAGGAAGCGGTGAGTAGGAACGAGCCAGGTAGTGGGAATTATGACTAGGTGGAAACAGTCTGGGAGGAGGCAATGGGGAATACAAGGTTCGACTGTGAGAACATTGGCTGGTGGCAAGGATCTTGGTAGAGGGGTTTCATAAGGGTTTGATCCTCACAGGATCGAGTTACAACCAGAGCACCCCTCAAACCTTTGGAGAAGATCACCACCTCGGATAAGTTATAGCCGGAGTACCTTCGCGCAGTTGGATACAACCTTAAAATGGAAGTGGGGACACTGACTGCTGCCTTGATAGAAATCTGAAATGAAACTCACAATATATCACCTTAATTCAGCAAACACACATAAATAGAGATAGAATATGTGGGAAATGAAATAGGAGGGGGGAATAATTCCCGCCCAATGAAAAGAGAGAGAAGAAGCTGGTCCATCCTCCTGCTGGACTGAAACTCTAGCCCCGCATTACCCACTTAATTAGCTAATATTCTCATTGGTATTCCTAATCCTACACATTCAAGAACTAGCACTTTGTTTCATCTAGGGTCAAGCGATAGCTCCCACTATGTTGTACTTTACCTATATGGCACTTAGTTCCCATTTTTCTACTGGTATAATATCTGATTTTATTTGCAATAGCATGTACTCTCACCTATCGAGATACTATCCACTTTGATCTAATTAGAGGTTGATTTGTGTATAATTAATTCAGAAAATATATAGCTTGGAGGGTTATGCCTTGACTTGATCTTGAGGCCTTTGAATATTGGCACACAATTGATGCCTACATGATAGTATGAATTTCTTTTTACCCATGGATGTTATTTATAAGTGTTCTTCTTCAAGTGTTATTGATCTTTAATATCAGCCTTGTTACTCGAAGCTAGCTCAAATAGTATCAGATCTTTTTTCTTCAGATCTGATTATCGAGCAGGCCATGTCTTCTTTTCTCCTATATATAGAGGATCAAACCTTGAACGAATATTGTGGTATAGGTCTTATCTATTCTCCTCTTATGTGTAGAGGTTCAGGCTAAAGTGGGACTTATAACTACCATAATAAAGAGGCTCATTGTTTGATGTTATGATCCTATCTTATAGGAAATATAACCTGAATATTTTTCTTATGTGAATGAAATTTTCTCAAGAAAACGCTTTGAATGCCTTTAAGTGGGATTTACAAATCTAATCATGGAGAGGCCTAAAGGTTGGGCTTTTATGGTTCATCTCATGGTCACTGTGGCCATTATTATCATTATTATCATTAATAATAATAATAATAATAATAATAATAATAATAATAATTTTGGTCAGTATTTACTTTTTCTAGAATTCTTACTTAGTTATATAATTGATTTCTGGTAAAAAATAGGTGGCTTACAATTTTCTCATTTTAAAGCTGATATTACCACCAGTTCAGTTGTTGAAACATGACAGATCTTTTTGTGCATTATTTAATACATGAAAGTTCGTTTGCTGGATCATATATTTTGCTTTTCAGAATCAATGACCAACTCTAACTCCTCTCCTTGCAGGAGTATGAAGGGCTGGCAGAAAAACGCTATACTAAGCTTCTTGGCTGAAGAAAATATAAAGGTTGGAAAGCCAGAAGACTTCGCTTAACACTTTATTCCTCGCCTCCAATTACATGCATACATAGACATAGGCATAGGCATAGATATATATTTATAATGCTTATTTAAGTCTATATTTCTTATGGAAATTATCGTGACATTTACTGCTTTCATATCAGTTTAATTTTTATTTTATATATATATATTTCATATGTTTGGATATGAGGTATTGTAATCGTAAGGTACATTGTTAGGCTTATCTCATTCTTTTGTATTCATTGATGGGATGAATGGTATATGACCAAATTGAAATGAAGTTTTGGACATTTTATAGCTTTGATTGTATGAATATGCAAGCACTTGCACTCTCTTCACACTCATCAAGTGGTAATTCCCTTTTTAAAAGCGAGTGTTATTTATGATATGATATGAATGATTTAGGTGGTATAAATGCAACAAATTTGACTTTTAAGAGTTTGGTATGTAATTAAGTGAGAATTGGGTGGTATTTTTGTAAATGCCCGTTGCCCGTACTATATTCTAGGAAGCCGAAAAATGGGTTATTACTATCGTTCTGCATAACTAGTAAGATTAGTAGAGCTGCCCTTAAAACTCTTTTAAGAAACTCATTTTATAGAAATATTATGTTAAATTTTCTTGGAGGCATTTACGTACTTAAGATGAGAAATTTCACATTTACATGCAGATCACTGAAATCTTTAATATTACATCAAACATAATGGAAATATGCATTTTCTAATATAGGTATATGACAATTTTCATAAATATAAAATATCAAATTATAGATGTTACACATGTAAATACGCAGGAACTGGTACGTATGTAAAATTCCCAATTTGTAAATAAGTTAAAACACATTTTTATTTAGGTATATTTGGCTTATTAATTTCTCAATATGCCTAGAATTATTAGATAAAAAAGCAAATGATGAATTTATATTTTAAGTATATAAATGTATTTTTGAATTCCAACATCTATAATGTTTTTCAAGGGAAAGTAAGAGGAAATATATTAGAGAACAACGATAATGTGTAATCCTTTATTTGTGATATGGGTCAGTCTCCTTACCATTAGCTTTTAGAGGGGCCTTTTAGTGATTATAATGATATTTGAATATAATAAGAGTGGCAGATCGATGTCTATCAGAGAGAAGTTTGTCTCACCTTAACTCCATTAATACTTGATCCAGAACTCAACAATCTATTGATCAGCGATCATCATCAAGTGGTAAATTCTCTGGCACCTCCTTATGATTAAAACATGTTGTGACCTATAAGTTTTGGGAAATGGTAGAATCAACTAGGTTAATCACATTAACATATTTTGTACAGGGATATGCATTTTAGGGAGATGCAAATGTTTGGATTTATGGAAATATAAATTCATTTCTAACCAAGCATCTTTATGCATCGGGGAGGGGGTGAAGAAGAAGGTTGTTCCTATTTGTCACTAGTCTTTTCTACATACAATTCTTGATTACATAAAATCCTTTTACATCATTTCAAGGAAGAGCCATTAAAGTATTTGATGCCTTTCAATTTAATTGTGATATATTAGGATTACTTTTGTAGGACTTAAACTTTTTAATTTGCTTGTGATACATTAGGATTGCTTTGTAAGACTAGAACAAATCCAAATTTTCAGGCTAGGATTAAAACCAGTAGGCTAGAACATTTCTTAGAAAGAATTACCTCATTACCTATAAAATTGACATTTCGGATTCTAAATTCGATATTACTGATACAGCACGTGCACTTGTGTGATCTACTTGTGCATGTAGCATTGGTATGTGTCAGGATAGCTGGATAGGGCTAAAAAAAAGGAAGTTTTGCTGAAGGCGGACCTTAAAAGGACCTGTAACAATCAAGACCTCTTGAAGCTGAAGCTCAACAATTTCGAGAAGACCAACCAGAAATCCGTCAGCACTATAGCGGCCTTGGAGAAGGAGATATCTGATTGAGGGAGAAGATCACTTCATCGGTCTCCAAGGAAGATCATGAGGACGGCCAGGCAGGTCACCTTAAACTCGGGGTGGATTTTTCCATCCAAAAATTCATTCTTCATGGCTTAGAAAAATTCTCTTATCCAAAAGAGTTCTCTACTCTAACCCGAGACAGGTCGACAAAAAGTTCCGAAGAAGAGGTCAATTCGGGCAACGAAGAAAATTCAACCACCTGTCAGGGTCATGTAGAATGAGAAAAATTGGTTAGCTTTTTTGCTCTTTTTGTGTCGATTGTGTTTTGACTGATCGTGCTCATCTTGCGAGTTGATCCGCTGCATGGGCTAGCCAATCAAGATGTTTTGTTAATCTCCTTTGATTGGGTTGTCGCCTCCAGAGAGACTCTCATCTGAGGCGACCTTTGCAGCTTGTCACAGATCTTTTCGCTAGTGTGTGCCTCACCAAACTTTAGACTTCACTCTCGTTAGTCATCTTTTAAGTTTCTGAGGACTCGTTTAAGTTGTTCAATAAGATTCAAATTATATTACCCACCTTTTCTTATAGTGAATGGTTAAAATATACCGACTGACTGATTTGCATTGGGCCCTAGTCACTGCGTTTCCTCACCCTGATCAGTAGATAGAGCCTTTGCCTTGGCGTGGTTTGTTCCTTTTTTGCTAAGCACAGATCTTGTTGCCACTCGCTAGGGTTACCTATAAGGAATTGTCTCCAGGTTGATTTTCTCTACACTCTTTTGTGGATCTTATTGCTAACGAGCAAATAACCATCTCCATAAACCAAGTTTTTTCGACCCTGGGTGCTTGGGTTTGCGGTGCAAGGGTGGAGCAAGTAATCAATTGATCTATCATAACCAACCCTTGGGACCACACAAATGATTCTTCATATATTATATATATATATATATATATATATA